CCTGGCTCGGAATCCATCAAATGCGCTTCTCTTGATCGAATTCAAGAGGAAGAAAATGAATTCGAAATTGGGGAATTACCAGCGATGGATATCTACTCTGTTTCCCGAGGACGACTAGATGTCATCAACGGTACGATCAGATGAGTACATGAAAATAGCCTCGGTTGATAACAACGTGGACATTTAGACAGAGCAGCAAAATACATATATATATGCATACATATACATACATACATATATATATATATATATATATATATATATATATATATATATATATGTATGTATGTATGTATGTATGTATGTATATATAATGATAGATCAGATATATATAAATATACAAATGTAGAATATTAGATAGATAGAAAGATAGATAGATATTACTATACAGTATTGAAAGATAAACATAAAAACGGATATTAAGATACTTATATATATATATATATATATATATATATATATATATATATATATATAGATAGATAGATAGATAGATAAAAACATACATACATAGATACATACATACATACATACATAAATACATACATACATAAATACATACATACATAGACAGATATCATTATACTAGTGTTGATATATACATAGGTATAAAAGAAACTCTCGGAGATAGATGCTAACATGCAAGGGTAGATAGATAGATAGATAGATAGATAGATAGATAGATAGATAGATAGATAGATAGATAGATAAGATGTTAATATACTAGTCTTCAGAGACATTAACTTAAAAAAGCTAAACAGAAATTTGATGCTAGCTTACATATATATATATATATATATATATATATATATAGATAGATAGATAGATAGATAGATAGATAGGTAGGTAGGTAGATAGATAGATAGATAGATAGATAGATAGATAGATAGATAGATAGATAGATAGATAGATAGACAAAAATACTGACCAGTGTAAGGATTGATAAACATATTTCAAATTCATTGTGTTGTGTTAAGCTTCTTTGCCGGTATACCTTGTTTGATTGCCTTAACATCATCATTTAACATTGGCTTTTACAATGTCTCGAAAACCATGATTTCGTCCCGTTGTGATTGATGCGATTATCTCAGCCCCTGATAGTATATAACCACCATAAATATACGTATGCATACGTTTATATATATATATATATATATATATATATATATATATATATATATATATACTGCCTGATAGACAGTACATACATTTATTAAATATTTAATCATTATTAAATATTTAGTCAATATCTTTTCATTCCAGGGGTAATTCGCATTAAGTATGAAAATTCTAACATAATAATGATTATTATTGAAATTCGTATGGACATAATTTCAAGTCCCAGGTCCTTTTTTCAACAAGCAATCATGTCAGCTAAGATTGTTCTTTGTTTTCTTGTGTTTGTTTTTGTCTTGAAACTGAGACGGTATCCAAGTGCTTCTGGAATTTAGGGAAATCAACCAAACTTTGACACTTTCATTCTGCTTTCATTAAACATCTACACTTAACTTAAAAATCTTTTCAACTTCTTTGCCAGCAATATAGGTTTATCAAACAGATACCATATCTATCAACAAAGAAGTCACGATAATTTTAAATTGTGAAAAACCATAAGAGTTCATTATGCTCTTTATTATCATTACATACAGGAGTCATGTAAATAACACAGTTGAAAGTTTGTTTTTTTTTTGTTTTTTTTTTTCATATTGCTCTCTGTAATTGTCAACCCATGCCCTTTCCAAGACGGAAAAAAAGTTAAATCAGCCACTATTAAAAATACTGAAATGTATTATGATGCTCTGTTTCGCTAATAATTTGAAATCATTTTCCATAAAAGGGAATGGAATAAATATATATTATATACATTCTCCCAACATGAAAAGTAATATTAGAATTGCTCTTTTTCTCAGTGAGGCATGGATCGTGTGTAATCTAGAGATGCATGTTAATTTAACATTAAAGACAGACAGCAATAAAAGTGATATTTTATGCTTACTATGCACTTATGTTTATTCCAGTGATTGTAGCATTACTGATGTTCTTATAAATATGTTGACAATTTACAATGACTTTCAGAATATTAGTGAAGTCAAAGAAGCTCAATGAAATCATGTCCATTTATAGAAACATGAAATACGATCAAATTGTGTACAAATAAATATATTCTAATATTGTCTCATGATAGATACATAAGTACACAGGGTGAGATTACATGGGAGCATAAGCAAAAGAATGGGTTTCTTCAGTCAGTCAGATTAGTGTCATACGTGCCATACAATGTCGGGCGAGGAAGCAGTGGTATACAGTTCAGGGCACATACATATCTGAACAGTTTGGATGTATGACATCTGCATGAATGTCTCGATCAGCCGAGGCTATTTGCGAACATTATTCCGTCAGCCATACATGATACACGTTTGGGCGATTATGTCGCTTTTGTCTCATGGCTGAATAGGCAGAGATGATCCCGCAGTAGATTGCCGATTCTTTCTGCGAAAGATTGGTCGCAATCCAAGGCTATAGGACTCGGCCTGCCCTGCTATTCATGCTGAAAGGAGAATAGATATATTTCATAGCTTCCCCAAGGGCATTTTCGGATATGATGACCCCTACTGGAATTCGAACACTTTTCTCCAACCGTTATCCATTGCACTTCAAATCATATTGAATTCTTAATAGGTTCGTAAATATTTAGAGAGGAAAATATGTAGAATTTACTACAAAAATAGCGCACTGCAAGTGGAATACACTGCAAAGGCAGAACAAAGTAAGCTGCACTTTTCGAGTAGTGCGGCTACAGATTAAAATAAATGTCAGAACACTAATTATTTAACACCATGTCTCGTTCCTTGGACTCCAGCTTCGTTGGTTTATTTGTTGCTAGCCATTCACTTCCTTGTACCCGTAATAGCCATATTGAATGCAGAACGTGAAAAGTCGAATTATAATTTCACACAATATTTATATATAGATATTCAAAAGTGTGGCTATTTTCGCAATAGAAATTCGTTGTAAATCGATTCCCCTCCCGCAACAAGATGGCATGTACAGAGTTATGTCCCTTAGTTTTTAACGCATTCGCGAAAGAAGATTAAACATAAAACAAAGATTTTTAATTTCAAAATCCACTATCAATTCAGGGGCGAATAGATCTTTAGCTCACGAAACATGATTTAACATCTCACTACAAACTACGGCTCTTATCTAAGTTTTTACCGCCTGAAATCCTTCTCTGTGTTGCACTAGATTTTTTCTCTTTGTGACCCCACTCTCTCTCTCTTTCTTTCTCTCTCTCTTTCTCTCTCTCTCTCTCTCTCTCTCTCTCTCTCTTTCTCTCTCTCTCTCTCTGAAAATATGAATTTCTTCTTCTTCTTCTTCTTCTTATTATTATTATTATTCAGATCATTCGTTCTGATTAATGTTTGTTCGTAACTAAGAAAATAATGCGGTGAAGTTTTATAAAAATATATATCATTCTTGTCATTTTCAAAATTTCTTTGACTCCCAACAACTGCAACCAGTCTAAACTAAATACGGGATTTCTCACATTTTATCATCATAATCAGGCCAATGACCTGGTGGGATAATAGGGCCACTGTGCAGTTGAGTACCTGACCAGTTCCTTCCACATATCAAACTTGAAGGCTAAATTCATTCATACGTAGACAAGTAAAAAAAAAACAAAAAAACAAACAAAAACTGATGTCCTTCAATGTAAAAGTGGCCTTTTATTCCAACAGTGTAGTTCTCCGCCCTGGCCGTTACTTGTCATCACGGCAGTGGCTACATACATATGTAGGGAGACCAGGCTATACTATTTTGCTAAATGTCCGTTTACTTTGCAAAAGGATTAATCCACCTTTGTAAAAATCTTGTTTTAAATGTGTTAGGTGTCTACACACCATCCTCGCCAGAAAAGCCTGGTAGAGGAACTAATTTCAACGCATATGACACGAACATGTGACAGGTAATAAGGAATTAAATTGTACCTGTAGCACATTCCCCCCGTTAGTTGATATTTATATCTCAACATTTTCTTTATCTAAAAAATTGATACTGATTTATATACTTTATATATTAAGCATTTACTTCCCTGGGTATGACGATAAAGTACATCCGGCAGCGGGAGATTGGAAGTTTTGAGGAGCGCGGAACCATATCTTAATTGCAGTTTTTCCCAGGTCCACCATGACGTGTGTTGGTAGAACCTGTTAAAGTACCAGCTATAAATTTTAATTGTAGAAGGCATACGACTTGTTCAGAATATATTTAGTTGAAACCATAAAAATGTGGTCAATATATTTAGATTTTGGCGTTAAATAACACAACCAAACAAAATCAACCAATCAAACAACCTACATTAAAGAACTCTTTCAAAGATTATTTTTTTTAAGCATTTCACACCTAGAAAGGTGGGAAGCCAAGGGGTTACAGAGTATTTGGAGCAAGAGCAGGTAGGAATGATAGAGGAAAGGATGAGGAGAAGGATAGTGGATAGATCAAGGCAACTGGAGACGTCGATTGACATTACATTTGAATAGTTGGAGATTATAGCTCTCAGGCAAACAGGAATAGGGAAGGGAGTTCCACAGGCGAGAGGTGCGAGATATGAAGCTATTGGAGTAGAAGAAGCGGCTACATTTAACAGTTTCAACAGTGAAAGGGTGAGAGCGGGATGCCAGCCTCGTAGGACGCTTGAATTCGCAAAGTCTGGGAACCAGCGAAAGCAGCTCATCGGATCAATTACCATGAAAGTATTTGTAAAAAAAGACAGAGAGAGGCGACAGCACGTCTGGGAGAGTGCGACTGTAGACGAGATGCCAGATCAGGGCCAATTATATTGCATATCCGTCTCTGGATCTTATCAAGAATCCCGAGGCAAACAGAAGGGGCTCCAGACCATATATGGCAGCAATACTCCATGGAAGTGCGAATGGTTGATTTGTAGATTTGAAGGATCGACTCCGGGTAGAAAAATTTCCTGGCGCGACACAGAAAGC